ACATGAGCTATCGAATGGGCGTAGTTAGATTGAAATCTAAAATTTTTCATGTGACATGAATTCTCGATGAGCTGGCGGACCCTCTCTTAATCATTGAGGTGTCGCGTTACGTGGACAAGCCGAATAACAGAAATAACACTATTTACACATCTTAATCTACATTTCGCTTTCAATCTTTCTTGGGATAAATATGGCAGTGAAATGCTTTGGGAAAAGCAATCAGACACTTAACTTTATGCGCTTAATAAAGTGGAACATCAAGCGACTAGGCCTTGATATTATTTACAAACGTTTTATTATCTATAATCTGTTTTACCGATGACGTATATTCAGTAATAAATAAGTAAGTATCAGGTTCACCGAAGTTAGCATCATGAATCAAAAAACGGCAAAGGTCTCTTTATTACAAAACAGATTTTACAAAAATCTACAGAAAAACTGCTCGAAACAATTAGTTAGCGTTGGGAACGATGTGAAAGTTTTCTTTTACCATGAGATAATCTTAGCTGCACTGTAAGTTTCCAATCTTATTTCATTGGATACATGTTGTTATGGCTATACCACACGCGAATGAATATTAGGGAAAAAAGCTATTGATAGTTTACTCTCCCAATAGAAAAGTATATTTTTCGCCATTTGCTAACGGATTTGGCTTAACTTGTCAAACGTTCAAACATAGGAAACCAGGTTTCATAACAGAAACCGGCAAAACCGACTCATAAGATCCTTTGTAATAGATAAAAATAACATAAAAATTTGTGGTTCTTTCTATAAAGTTCTTATAAAAATCTTATCGAACTCTTATAAGACACTTATGACCACCGATAAGAAATCTTAAACAATCTTATCAGGTTGATTCATAATTAATTGTGGATTAAATTTCAGATAAAACCGGTCACTTTTCTTCGTCGCATTTGAGGTACCGTCCAGTAGTTCCAAGGGTTCTTTTTAAGGTCAATCGATAGGGAATTGAATTCTCTACAAAACCTGTAATTTTAATCTCTGACAGCATTTTTCCCATTTGAGCACCATTCAATATTTCGAATGATGCTGAGTTGTCGAACTGTGAACACTGAAGAAAGAAAAATATTTACCTTGATCCAAAAAACAGATTCCATAAGAATTTTGAAAACGTCAGAAGATTCACAAGAAAATTCTGCATGTTCTCACGTATTTTTCGAAATTTTTGCGGCTCACTTTTCTAGGAAAAATTTTCCGTGCAATTTTTTTTATTTTTTTTTTCCAAGTTTTATCTGAAATTTAATCCGCAATTAATTATGAATCAACCTGATATATAAGAAACTGATCAGATTCTTATGAGAATCCTATCAGTTGTACCAAAACGTTTTTGTCTAGGACAGACCCTAATCGAAGAATATGGACTATATATACGTTTATCTAAAGTGTTTAAACATACACATTCAGTATATATAGATATCGATCTTCATGCTTGCGCAACTTAAGCTCATCTTCATATTACAATATCTGCCCAGATCAAAGAATCTTACTGTAGATCTTATACCATCTTGTCTGATTCTTATAAAAATTCGTAAGATTTCGTAAGAGACATAGAAATTGATTCTTCATCTAAGATCTTATAGGATATTTAGCTTTGCAAGTTGTTCTTCTAAATATCCTAGTGGGTGAATAGGTTCTAAATATACTAGGGTATCTGGGATATTTAGTTTTACAAGTCCTAGTATATTTAGAGCCTATTCATTCACTGGCATATCTACCATATTTAGGATATTTAGGTTTGCAAATTCTTCTCCTAAACATCCTAGATGTTCTAAATATTCGACAGGTTGAATTTTTTCACTGTGAAAAGAACTTGCAGTCAGTTCAAATTCGCCAACAAATGAGAGTTGGTGAAAATCAGGTATTTCACGTAACAATTTGCTAACTGTAAAGGTGCTTTTCCAGCAGAAAACCCACGCGATTTCCGTCTGTTTAGAAGGTTCTTGGCCCTTGACGAGAACGTGTTTTTCTAACAGGCCACGTCGAGTGCATGCGAAGTATATGTCATCCCACGTCCTGCAATCCCGCAGAATGGTGCAGCTGACCTAGTCAAAGTTTTTTATTTAACTTTTGTCAGTACCATTGTCAATTTAACATCTAGGACATCAAAGTAAATTTGATTTGACGTACTCAAACTTCAAAAAACGAGAAAAATTGGCTCCAAAAGTTGTTTTTTCCACTATCAAGTGTTTTCTAATCTCAATTCGAACCACTTGATCGGATAGAGCTTGAAAAGCAGCGTCGAATGAATACCTTGTTTGGACATCTGTTTTCGCTCTATGTTCGTAAAAAACACGAGTTGCTGTCGTTCTCACTTCATAGACACCGCTATATCAACAGTTCAGACAACTTCTACTACTGCTGCAACCACTCCAAGTAAAACAACAGCAACTCAGAGACGCTGGATAACAACACCATTCAGTTCAACACGTTTTTCTACAACGAATCAACCACTGATGACCCAAGAAAGTATGCACTCATCATGCAGTATAACTCTAGAGTCTATGGATATTTTCTCATTATAGATTTACCTATCCAGTTAAAGTATAGTAATTTTTTTCGTTTCATAATTCTAGATCATGGGTAGTTTAATTAACATGTACAATCAGATGACGGTCGTAATCTGGGAGGCGTACATTGTCCGAAATGGTGATATCTATTATCTTTATGTTAATGCTACACTACAACTTCCATTCTTGTGCCCCAGTGAATCAAGCTGCCAGAATTCGATACAAACAGCTTTAGAGGAAACACCTTTAACTAGTTTAACATTGTCGACAGAAAATGGACAAGTTATTGATATACTAGTTGAAAGGCCAACGGTGCAAGGTAGAACTGAATAATAGTGAGAAATTCTGCGGTATGAAAAGTAGTTAATTTCTCATTTCTAGGCTTAAAACCGTTCTTACTACACGGAAAATGTAATCGTATTGACGTAATTGTGGGACTCGTATTGGCAACACTAAGTTTAGACGTCTGCATAAATGTACTGTCTCCTGTATAAGCATAAGACTCGAACATAAAATCACAAAGTACGAAACTAATCGGATATTGGGTGACTCAAATGAAAATTAACTTTTCACGAACTCCAATGGCGATTTATACAGGTCAATAGATGCTCTGCTTCTTACTTTCATAAATTGCTTATTGTCTTTTCTTTTTTTCAAGAAAAATACTTTTTTTGGCACCTTTTAAAAAGGCTTTTTCTTGCAAAAAGAAAAGATGTCTCTTTTCTTTCTTTTGGAAAAGAAAACGTGCCGCTTTCCTTTTTCTAAGAAAAGATATGGATTATATCTTTACTCTTTACTTCTAATACATTGGCCATTATAAATTGACCGAACACTTTTCAGCTGATGAATTTGTGGCACAATGATTTCCCTAAGACTGCCAGAAGTAACCAGGAATGTATCTGTTTCCTGTGTTCCCTGACCACCAGCTCGGTCAATTTATAATGGCCAATGTATTAGAAGTAAAGAGTAAAGATAT